CAGGGCCTCCTTCCCCGCATCCTGAGCGCGCCCCTCTCCGCGCCTCGCCGGCCCGCGCCCCAGGAAGCATGTACCTGCTGGACGGCGGCGGCGGCGAGCCCGCGTCGCCACCTGCGGACGCGATGCCACGCGGGACGCCCCCCAGGAAGACCGTCTACCGTATCTCCGTGACCATGGTTCGGAAGGAGCAGCTGGCGGCGCCGGGCTCCGAAGAGCCGGACCCGCGCCCTGCCAGACGGCCCCGGCCCGCGCGCTCCCCGGACGCGCCCGAGCGGCTGCTGGAGGAAGCCGAGGAGGAAGCGGAGGGCAGCCCGCCGCGCGCCTGGGATGTGCGCACGTTCCGTGCCCGCAGCACCGGGCAGCTGGAGCTTGGGCGCCTCCGGCCGTGCGCGCGCCGCCCAGACCCCGCGGATGTGGTTGGCAGCCCCTCGGCCCTGGACGGACGAAGGTCACCCACTCCCGGTAGCCCAGGTGTGGAAAGCCCGCCGGCCCAGACCTTGCGGCGGAGCCTCAGCTTCAGGGATTGGAGCGCTCCCGAGACCCCTCGGGGCCCCGTCATGGATGGCGGAAGGCGCCGCAGCAGCTCGGGGAGCCTGGCCTGGGCGCCGGGCGAGGAGCCGGAGGCGGGTCCCGAGGCCGCCGCCACCGCCTTGCAGCCCTCCTCGGAGAAGCGCAACACCTTGGACGTGGGCGAGGTGCTGAGCAAGAACGATGCGCTCTCGGACCTGGAGCGCTGGGAGCGCAGCAAGAGCAAGAACCGCACGCTGGACAACAGCGACCTGCAGCGGCTGGAGCGCGCGCGGGCCGCGGCCTCAGAGCACCGGCTGCTGCGCTTCTTCAGCGGCATCTTCGCGCGCAGAGACGGCGCGCCCTCCCCTCGGAGCGGCGTCCAGCGGACGCGCGGCTACTTCAGCAGCCTGCGGCGGGCCCCGGCCGACGCGCACTCGTCCAGCGCTGAGAGCATCGACGGGTCCCCGCGCAGAGGTGGGCTCTGGGGCGGAGAGGGGAGTGGGGCAGCCGGCACGGAGCTCCAGCGGCCAGGTCTGCGGAGCACGCTGGGGCCCGGCAGTGCGCACGAGGAGCTGTGCACCCAGGTCGACCGCTGGCCAGCAAGCGGCCACACGGGATGTAAACTCCAGTACTGCGGATTTGCCTAGCGGTACTGCTGCAGCCTGGCCCTGCCCTGGCTTTGTGTGCTCGTGCCTTTCCGGGTCTGTCACCTCGGCCTTGGTGAGATTGGCTGGAGAGATTCCCTGCCAGAATGGTGCTGCTCTCCAGCAGGTGCTGGCCCAGCCACTCCATTAGGCTGGGAGCGCATCGCTGAATACCTGCCGCTGCCCCCTGTGGGCTGCTCCCGGGCCACGTGCCCAGGTGCATGCTACTGGGTCTGCGCCCTTCTCTCCCTCCCCGTGCCTCTCCCCGAGGGCCCTCCCACCTGTGAATGCCTTGTGTGTCCTGGGTGATCCGGGCGTTCCCACCCGTAGAGCTCTTGGTGCAGCACATTTAGAATGGAGGATGAGGAGTAAAGGACAGCGCTTCTGCCCAGCGGGAGCTCAGTGGGGAAGGCCAGTCCGTCCGGAACAGGGTTCTGTTTCCCAGGGGATGTTCGCTCAGCCACAGGCGGGGAAACCCCAGCTTCACAGCCTGTTTGAAACCTTAGTTTTCACATATCTTACAGGGCCCCTGCGACAGAGGTGCCGGAGGCAGGGATGCTAAGAGCATCTCGCAGGAGTCAGTTAACCTTGGCATAGCATTTGGGGGTCAGAAGCCTGGAGAAGCTGCAAAACAGACCCCGTCTGTGAATCCTCTGAAGGAGAAAAGCTGGGGCGCGAGGGACAGCTAGGTGGCTCCTCTTTACTCCTGGGAACCGGCAGGTGGGCAGCATGCAGGAAAAAACCCTAATCATTAACTTCATTGCCGAACGCTGCTGCCAGGTAGGGGCAATTGTAGGTGAAGCAGTGGAGTTGTGGGTTTTGGTTAGCTGATTTCACCTGCTATTCAGCCAGCCCTTGGGAGAGCTTTCCTCCGGGGTGGATTTATCAAGTTAGCCCGCTGACCCTGGGTTTCTGTTAAAATCAGCCAGTCAAAGGACGTGCTGCCCTTGGCGTAAATATTAAGGCAAACTGCAGACAAAACGGTCATGTTCTAATATTCACCGAATGGTTCTCAGAAGGGAGTAGACAATCCCGAAAACTAAGCAGCTGACCCTGTAGTGTTGTTCACATATGAGGGCTTCTTTAGAGAGGATTAGCATATACGCTCAGCTGTCCTGAGGCTTGGTTGCTTCCATTTGCCATACACCTCTTGCTTTAAGGTACCTTGGAGCATTGACCTTGGAAAAGATGGAGCTGGACTCCAGCCATTATCCTGCCCCTCCTTACCTGCTCTTGAAATTTTGGAAAATAGCATGGGGCCCTTAGAGGTGCTGGCTGGCATGAAGCTGCTTTGCTGCTCTTCTTGTTCACAGGAAGTTCAAGTCTGAAGGTCCCAGTTCTCCCTCTAATAGCAGGCTTGCATCTCCGTTCCTGTGGACTTCATAGAAAATAGTAATTAGCTGCCTGGGTACCAGACACATATCTGTCTTAGCTGGGGAGAGATGGGGCTGGGGGAGGAGGCACACAGACATGATTTAGAGTGAACGTGCTTCATCATGGTACCTGTTGACAGCAGTTAAAAGCATTTGAGGTTTTGGTGTTTCCTTTTGGGACAGTAGATTTGCAGTCGTAAGGGTGTCAAGTATGTTGGAATGTTTCCCTGAAGGGCAGTGTGAGTTAATAATAGTAATAATTATAGTAATGCTCAGTTTATTTGTCCTTTGTGGGCAGATCTTCTCAGGATGGGTTTTGTTGGTTTGAGACCTAGCAGTATGGCTGGCATCTGTGGGCTATGCAGAAAAACCCAATGCTTTAATGAGCTGGGTGGCAGCGCACACACGGAAAGCTCTCCAGGCCCTCATTAGAGCTCCTGGAAATGATTTTATTTTATTAAAAAGCTGCACCTTTCACCTGGATAAAATTCTTTGCTTTTGGCAAAAATGCTGTGAAGCCTTTTTTTTGGTGAGGTCAGTAATGTGTGTGCCTGTTACAGGCAAAGTTTCTAGAAGCTTCCAGCGCTTCTCATTTTATTAGGCTTCTCCAGTTTTCATCCATTTGTTTGCTATAACACAGATTATTTAGCATTTAGGTGCAAATCCCTCCCTTAAGGTCTGCAGATTTCCCTGTGCATGCTCTTAAGGCGTGGGGTAGGTTTGCAGGCTTAGACATTTTGGGTTTAGGAGAGTAAAATGGCAAGTGTTAGAGAACATCACCTGTGAGGCCAGGTGGCCCCCAAAGTCACAGTATTTTGTAGCAAAGCCCAAGTATACTCTGTGGGATTAATAGCCTCATGTCAGTTCACATTTGCTTTTGCCACCCAAACATATGTAAAGAGATGTCCCACAGTGAGGCCACTTTTCGAGTTTTGTATTTGCAGATATGCAGCTGTACATCTGGAACGTGATCAGCATCAGGTCTATCCCTGCCTGCCTTGAAGTCTTGGCCATACTGTTTTAAATTTTGTGTTCACGAAAATGTAAAGGAAATGAGAGGTTTCATTGCCCAGGGCAGATTTTCCTTCAGTTTGAGTCTTTGTGTTTCTTAAAAAAAAAATGGCTGTTAAGTTTTGAAGTCGGTTATAGAAAAAGTAACTGTAAAAGACTATCACCTTGAGTAGGCTAACTGGGTTCTTAGAATTAAGTACTCCGTCTACCCCTGTCCCCCTCTGTCTCGCTCATAATCCAGGCTGGCCTCAAACTTGCAGCAATTTTCCTGCCTTAGCTTCTTCAGTGTTTAAATTACAGGTGTGGGCCACTCCGCCCGGCTAAGTGCTCTGTCTTGGGATGATTCCTTGGTCTTCCTAATCCTGCTGTTCTCCTCTGTGCAGGCTCCTCTCTGTTCTCGCGTTGCCCTGCTAATGTGTGACAGGGCCTCCCCACGTTTCAGAGCTGACCCTCGGTGCTCTGCGCTGCTCCCAGCTTTTACCATGCCAGGGAACATTTCAGGAAGACCCGGGTTCCGCCGAGAGCAGCTTCCTGTTACCTGATGCCACATATTAGGGCAGCCTGTTGACAAAGGTATAATTTAATGCAAGGAAAGAAGAAATAATAAACCATTGGTGACACTGTAGCTTATTGGTCTCAGGTTCATGTCCCTCAAATTCCAGAAGATTCTGTCCCGTCTGACCCACCAGCACTCCTAGGAACCAGCCGCCGGTCCAGAGCTGTCTTGAGGATGTTCTTTTCTGTCTGGGAGGATTGATTACAGTAATAAAGTGGTTCACTGATACCTCTGACTGAGGTTGGCCTTTTAAATTAGTAATTTACAACTGATTTTTGACAGGTTATTTTATCAGTGGCTTTGTTCTATAATTTCTGAGACCCTTGATTTGTATACTCAATTATGGTAGGACCGTGGACTGTTACAGTTTAAAACAAACCAAAAAAAAAAAAAACCTTGGGTGGACAAGAGAAACAATTAAAGTTACAACTTAATACATTTTAAACTTGACTCCTCACTTGTGGCTTTATAATGAAACAGGTTACTCAGTATATTGAAACAGTTTGAACTGGTTGGGTACATCCTCGGTCTTGTTACTAAAGCCTGAGGTTCATAGAGTTGCTTGCTTTCTATGAAGGCTCCAGATAGTAATTGAAAAGCTGCCATCATTTTTGTTACAAGGGTCGAAATTACTTTGCTGGGGACAGCAGCTGCCTTGGAGTGTGAGGAAGAGCAGCTTTGAAGCTCCGCCAGGAACCCTTCTGGGGAACTGCTGGCAGCGCGGGCTGCATGTGCCTGTGTCCGTAGCCATCCCATCCCCAAGTTGGAGCCACGGTTCAACATAGATGGCTGCTGTCTGTTCTTGGGACAGCCAAGGTAGAGTTCAGAAAGTGCACCTGGTACAGAGGTTTCCCTTTCAGCACAGACTGTTGCAGTAAGCTGGTTGTCCGGTTAGCAGATACCCCTTGTTTGGAAGCACAGCTCCTGCCTCCAGGGGTCCGTGGCAGATTACTAGGGGAGGTGAAGTTCGGTGAACCAGCTCCACAGGACCCTTAAGGACGATGTGGCTGCATCTGCGCAGTGCTCCCTCCATGAGCCACTTGCTCCAGGTGTGGGGATGTCCCCTTTACCTGTCCCTCGCAAGTCCTCCTGGGCGCAGAGCCTCGCTGATACTCCTTTCTACTCGGAGTGAAGGGCGCGGTGTGTGGCACGTGGACTTTTGGTAGGAAGAAATGAGGGGTGAGCAAGGGAAACCCAGAGAAGGCGTAGGGGGAGGGGTCAGTGGAGGCCTTACAGAGGGGGGAACTGAGCCGGACCTTGCAGGATGGGCAGGAGTTTCCGTGGTGGAGAGGGGACGGTCACTCCTGGCGTTCATTCCTGCCCCAGGTCTGTATGACCCACTAACACCAAGCAGGAGAGGATGTTACTGTTCCTACGATCTTTTTTCTTTTTTACTTTTTGGCCTGAGGCTTGTGTTTCTGATGGGAATTTTCCTATAGGCAGTGATGGCCCCTCCTCCTCCTCTAAGTGCTGCTGTTGCTTCAGAGCAGGACTGGGGCTCTGACCCGAGGCCCCCTTGCGGTGTTACTTCTTTCTGTAACGATTTCAAGGAGTCCTGTTAATTTAACGTGCCATGGTAAAATGAGGCGGGCAGAGGGAAAATGTTTTCTTTGTTGAAGGTAATCTCATGATTGAGATGGAGGAGGTACAGCTGGGGTGGTCTGGCCAGGTCATTAAAATCAGAATTGGTATTAAGGTCAGCAGATTAGCAAAAAGAGGGGAGATTATTTGTCTTTTCATTATTTTAAGAGAAGGGCCATCTGCCCGTGATGGCTTGGTACTCCAGGAGGTTTTGTTCCGCCTAAATTAGAGTCTGCCCTGGTGTTGATGTTCTCCTTGTTTGTGGGTGGCAGCCCTAGAATTCTTCTCTTACAACGCTTAGCTGGGTGC